AATTGCTGGGTTTGTCCCTATTTTACCCAGCACTGGGCTGTATTTAACCCAGCATTTTTTAGAGTGTAGCCTGTGTTACTGTAGCATTTGGACTTAAACATTGGATAATCTAATTATCTTAACTAAGTGGTATATTGATTGTTGTAAACAAACAATTTTATGGTTATTTAGTCAAATCAGATTCTTTGAATCAAGCAAGACTTGATTAAATATTCACTGAACTTGGTCTTCGTTTGGAACTATTTTTAAGGAAACAAAATGAAACAAGGGTCTTTGGTGCCATCTGGTCAGTGGCGGATTAAGACTCTTTGGTGCCCCTGGGCAACGACACCTAGAGTGCCCCCCCCCTCCACAAAAAATAATTTGATAAAAAAAATGAATGAATGAATGAAAGAAATGTGCTTCATGTGATAATTTAGATGTTTTTTTTGCAACATTTTATATTAATAAACTGATCTGATAACAAGGCTACAAAAATCCTAACAAAATCAGGTTACCACTTTTTACAGTGTACTCTGAAATTATTATATCATTATTATATTATTATATCATTTATATAATATATTATGATATAAATTATTTATAATTTGTGAACCCACCTCTTACAGGTGTAATCTGTTCTAAGATGTGATATACATCTGAACTATATGCAGCAAATTGAAACATTTTATAACTAGTGAAGCCAACTGTTACAGGTATAATAATAATCCAATCGGTTAATCACTTCAGACTCTATGGAAAAAAAGAAAGAGTGGATAATCTTTTTAGAGTCATTGTTGTCCTCAGCTCATTTTTTCATTCATTTATATTTCATTTACAAAAACATTTTCTAATGTTTTACTCCCTTGTGTAAAAAGGGTGTTTTCAGAAATGCAACAATGAGTGCATGATCTTGTTTGCAATTACATATGCAGTGCTTAACAAATTTATTTGGCCACCACCCAATAGGTTTGTGCCACAGCTGCCCTAAACTAAGGTGATTACCAACATTACCATTGTTATGTTTCTGTAATGGTTAATCCACCAGTATGTGTACGATCTTTAGTCAAAGTAGTGTTTCTAATGCTAAAATATAATTATTGTTGGGATTTAATGTTTCTAAGATAGATTGCACAAATGTTTAATCAAAAACAAGTCTTTGGGAACAACTAGAAACTATTTGGAAGTCAGTAACAGAGACTGTGGAAAAGTGCATAAAAATGATGCCAGCAAGAATGCAAGCTTTTATCAAGGCCAAAGGAGGCCATACAAAATAAAGATAAATAGCCTATTTATATTTTTTGGTTTATTCGTTTTTGGTTATTATGTGTGAATAAAGACTATTTAGTTGTTTCAGTTTGTTATTTGCCCAATGATAACACAATTTTTAGTTTTAAACAAGTTTTTGACGGGCGGTCTAATAAATTTGTTAAGCACTGTATATAGCTACATATAGTTTTGTGAGGATTTGAACTGAAAATAAAACTTACAAACGCACTCGTTTACACTTTGCCCTTTTCTTGATTGCCAATGGCTGCAAAGTACAACGTGAAAGTGCAAGGCTGACGCTCCGTAGCGAATTCACACATCCATGAGCGAGGCATTTCAGTTGAAGAGACGGGAGTTGCGCGACAGCATGCTGCTATTCTAGGACCTAGAATCTGTTTGAGTAATATATGGCCGTCGAGACGAAAGCGCACGGGTTCACGCAGTAGGATAGCCTATGTGTGAATCTGGCGATAGATCGCGCATCCTCTGTT